GCCAATCAGGACCTGGGGGCATGGGAGCTGCAGAAAACTTTCTTCACCTTGCCCTGGCCCTGTGAGGAGGGGCCAGGATTCTTCTGGACTACCCCACCCCCAGACCATGATTGGGGCCACATCAAACATTTCTGAAGTGGCCTCTGGCCCAAAATTATTGCCAATCTCTGCTTCAGTGGGATGAAGAATTTCAACCCAGGTGTGGTGATATGGGTTGGCTTTAGTTGGTCAACATTTGGTTGGAAATGAGAAATGCCCCTTATAACATTTTAAATGGAATTAAGAACATTCATCAGAAACATTTTTTCATTTTTCCCCCTTGTGTGGAAGTGTTTGGTTTTGTTATTAACAGAGGGACACATTCATAATTTGTTCCTCTTTTTAACAGCTCTAATCATCTTAATCAACACGTTACTTCTTAACCAGAGACATAGAGAAGACATAGTACATTCTAAAGAGAACCAACTTTATCACGGTTTTTGCCCAGCCCTGCAGGACAGAAACACCAATAAAAATATTTATTTTATTACATGAGTGCATTTGTCGGTTCTTTTAGGGATGCTGACCCCCGATTCTATAAATGGACACATCTGGCTATTAGGGGAACTCACTTAATTCTTGCAAAACGTATACCACTGTGAATAAAAGCTGTAACATCCCAAATTGGCTCATGAGACACTCAAATGATAGCTTCTGCTTTGCAGATAAACTCTAGCCAGCAAACCTCTCAAAGCTTAAGAGATTGTATAGCCAGAAAGCACCGTCATAATCATGCTTGTGGGTTATCTGCTATTGTGCCTAGGATACAATGCTCTGTATTCTAAATCTGAATGGCTCCATCAGGCTCATGATGAACTGCTCTCAAAACCGCCCCTTAGAGAGTATGACCATTCTTAGTAATTTTTGCAGCCCCCTGGTATAGTCTAGAATCCTGCAGTGAGAGACTGTGCAAATGACTGTCCTGAGATATCAATGGAGGAACACAATTAAGAGGAGCTCTCAGGGGAAGTTAGCAGGGATCCTGTGCATGTCACAGGTTCATCAAGCTCCCAGCAAGCTTGGAATGAGTTAAGGTTTCGGGGAAACCCTGTGGTATTTCAGGGAAAACAGAGATTTAAAGAGACCGTGGTGGGTTATTTTTTTAAAATTAAGAATGGCCCTACTAAAGAGAGGTGTTTGGCACATACTGACCCGTGAATCTTTCTTTTCACACAGTTCAGGAGGCAACATGTTTGAAGGCCACAAAAGGCGAAAGGAAGAGACAGGTGGGCTGTGTCTACACTGGCCACTTATTCCGGAAAATCAGCCGCTTTTCCGGAATAACTTGCCAGCTGTCTACACTGGCCCCTTGAATTTCTGGAAAAGCATTGATGATCTAATGTAAAATCATCAGTGCTTTTCTGGAAAAACTATGCTGCTCCCGTTCGGGCAAAAGTCTTTTTCCGGAAAACTGTTCCGGAAAAGGGCCAGTGTAGACAGCCCAGTAGTGTTTTCCGCAAAAAAGCCCCGATCGCGAAAATGACGATCGGGGCTTTTTTGCGGAAAAGCGCGTCTAGATTGGCACGGACACTTTTCCGCAAAAAGTGCTTTTCCGGAAAAGCATCCTGCCAATCTAGACGCGCTTTTTCCGAAAATACTTTTAACGGAAAACTTTTCCGGTATAAGTGTTTCTGGAAAATCATGCCAGTGTAGATGTAGCCGTGTGGTTTACATGACACACTTATCACAGCAGAACTACATCGCTTGGGGGTGAACAGGGGAGCTCACAGCCTGGCCGGGCCGATGGGCAAGATGGAGGAGCCCAGCTCCACACTTGTGGAAGGGGTGGGGCTTCAGGCAGAAGGGGTAGGGCCAGGGCAGCCAGCCCTCAGCAAGCCGGCTCCCCACCCAGTCCTAAGAGCTGTCTGGAATACCCATGATTTGAAAGACGCGGGGCTCCTGGCCCTTTAGAATCGCCATGGGGCAATTGCTTCCTTCCCCACCTTCCTGGCAGGCCCCAGAGCCCCCCCCCCCCCCCCCAGTGTAGACAGCACTATGTTGGCAGGAGACCCACACATCTATTGCCTCGTGTGGAGATGGCTTAATGATGCTGATGGAAGAGCTCTCTCCCATCGGTACAGAGGAGCTCCGTTAAAGTGCTCCAGTACAGCCGTGCCCACACAGCGTTTGATGCATAGACTTGCCCCAAAAATGGGAATAAAGGAGAAGATAACACTCAGCACTTCTTTTCCTCAAAGCGTGCTGGGACTAGCAACCAGTGAATGCTCATGATACCCATGTGAGCTCGGGATAGTTATTCCCAATTTACAAAATGAGAGAAACCGAGGCAGGGAGGCTCAGTGATTTGTTCAGCGATTGCAAGGAGAGTCAACAGCTGGCAGACTAGAGTAATGACTAGGTCCCAGTCCTGGGCTCAGGCATCTGCAAAAGGTGACGGAGATGAAGGGTGCATCGTCACACAGTTGCTGAGACACTGAGACGCCCCCTCCCAATACGTGAATCGGAAAAGACAGAAGTGTCTCAGGATTGCCTGTACTGCGTGGCACTGTGCGCTAGAAGGGAGTGAATTGTGAAGTGCACCATTGAGTTGCATGCCCTCTGGCCCCTGGAGAACTTGCTGGTGCACACTAAACGTTCCCTAGTGCACATTAATGTCGTGCCATTTCAGAGAGCAATGGAAGGGGAAGGGAGCGGAAACTTCCACCTTGTTATCTACAATGTATCTGATCCAGATTTAAAGAAGATTAATATAAGCACTGACCATGGAGGATGAGGGTGGAGCACAGACTCAAAGAATCTGGCTGGAAACTGGTGAGAGACACACGTATGGCGTTCACAAATATAGTGTAATGCCCACAGGCGGAACGGAACTTGGGACCGCCAATCATGAGCTTCTACAGCTGGAACCTGCTCAGGCTGTAGAGCAGACTCATTCTTTCTACAGCTGGAACCTGCTCAGGCTGTAGAGCAGATTCATTCTTTCCCCTGTGAGTGGTCTCAGTGCCACGAGTAAGTGTGGAGGTCACAATAACACTCAGTCCAGCAAGATGCCCCTCTCCCACTGAAACAGACAGCAAAGGAGCTCTGCAGTCTCACAAGACCCTGCCCCAAAATGGCATCTTTGGTCGGTTTTGACCTTCATTAACTCTCTGTGGAGTCCCAGAAAGCCCCCCATGGGAACAGAGCTGTGCTGGGAGCAGAGATCTTGTGGCGGCCGGGCTCCCCCAGGGCCTGCCACATCAGAGGGAAATGAGAAGACAGTCAGCATTGTAATTTTCAGAGGGGAGGTGAGACTTGAGCCCTGCCTCAGCACAGCAGCAGTGATAACAACATTGTCACTTCTGACTTGCGATGTGAATGGCGGGGCTCATGTAGGAGTCTAGAAGGCAGTTTTCAACCTTGATGGCAGAGTCTGATGATCAACAATAAACATGAACCCATCGAACTAAACTGTACACATACATCAAATGCAACTCCCGTTGGCTAACTATGGGTCCCAATGGGCACATCCTGGGGTGAATTCGTGTCTGGGATAACTACACGGATCTCTATCAGCGTCCCAATGGGCACATCCTGGGGTGAATTCGTATCTGGGATAACTGCATGGATCTCTATCAGCATCTCTGGTACGTCATGGCTGAATTTGGCCAAGACTTCCAAAGCAGCTGCCACCCAAGCATCCCAAAGTCCTTGAGATGCATTAATGAACGGGTCAAAACCTCACCAATCCCTTGCGAATTAGGTTACTATTATTACCTCTGTGCACAGATGAGGAAAGTGAATCAAAGGGGGAGCAAATGGCAGAACCCAGATTAGATCTCAGATGTTGGGGATCCCAGCCTTGGGCTTTAAGGCTGTGTCTACACAGCAAAGTTATTTCGGAATAACGGCCGTTATTCTGAAATAACTATGCACGGATCTACGCAGCAATTCCGTTATTTTGAAATTATTTCAAAATAATGGGAGGCTTATTCTGACTTCCGTCAACCTCATGCTCTGAAGAATAATGCCTCTTCCGAAATAGCTATTTCGAAATAAGGCGTGTGTAGACACTCCACTTCTGCCATTTCAAAATAGCCCCTCACCAGGGCCATTTTAAGTTATTCCTCCTGGAGCTCTAAATTGAGCAAACACATCTACATGAGGGGAATTTGCCTCGGACTTAGTTTGAGGCTTCCCTGCAGTGTAGACGTGCTGTTTCGAAATAAGCTATTTTGAAATAACTATTCCGGAATAGCTTATTCCGAAATAACTGTGCCTTGTAGATGTAGCCTAAAAGCCATTCCTTTCATTCATTGGGTTTAAAAGTGAAAGTTATTTATAGCTTGTGAAGACAGGTTTTTTTAGACTAGTTATACCAGCATCTCCTCTCAGACAGGCAATTCTAAAGGAAAAGATTGATTTGCAAGGACTTTTTACAATTCATTTTTGCTCAGCAGAGTGTTAAGTTAGCTGCAGATTCATTTCCTTTTAAGGTATCTTAAAATCAAAGACATTAAGTTGACTTCTGAGACTTACCCGGTATCTTCATAGTAAACCCGGACGAGAGTCCACGCTGTGATGAATACCGATGGTGCACCTATCAGTAGAGGACAAGGTTAGTGGCACAGTGGCTACTTGTTTTCCCTGTTAAGACCCTTCCAGGCCTGTCCCCACAAGACGTCAATGCGAATCATGACAGTGTTTTGGGCAGGGAAGGACTGTTTTACAAACCAGAGTCCTGAGTCCTCACTAAAAAGAGCAGTTATGAACTCAGACTGTGGGGTTGGTTCATAGGCTGTCTGTTTTTTGCTGATTTCATTTCACTGTATAAACAGATGGTTTATTTGCTTCCTCAACTAAGGGTTACTTATGGTTTTAGTTTCTGAAGGGCTCCTGCATGTATGGGAGTAAGGAGGAAACACCTGGGCCATGTCTACACTACATGGAAGATTGATGCGGTCAGTCTTCTGGCATTTGATTTAGTGGGCCTAGTGAAGACCTGCTAAATTGAACTCAGAGAGCATCCCTGTCAGTACCAGTACTCCTGCTCCTCACAAGGAGTAAGGGAAGCCAATGGGCCCGTTTGCTCCTGTCGACCTCCCGCTGTGTGGACAGCGATTTAAGATACATTGACTCCAGCTATGTAATTAATGTAGCTGGAGTTGCGTATCTTAAGTCAACCTTCCACGCTAGTGGAGACCAGACCCTATAAAGGTGCCCAGTTCCTTTAAATTCTAAGTGTCTGAAAGCTGGGACAGAATACTTTTTTTTTAGATGAGGGGAGAAACCCTCAAATCAACTTATTTATTTATTTTAAACAGAAATCCCAGGTACCTTCATTGGAATCTGACCCTCACTGCCACTAATAACACCTGGCAGAAAGATGATACACAAATATTACCTTTCAGTCCTATCTGATCCCACATGCTAAGGGGCTACATCGCTGCCAGAAACCGCGTCAGGCCACCGTGAGTTCATTTTCCCTACCATTCACGGTCACAAAGATGCGTACCCCAGCCAATCAGGATATACCACCAGAAGTACTTCCTCTCGGAAAAGAAAGAGATGACTAGGAGGGTGCGCAGGTACAAGCCTTCCACCAGCAGCCAGAAGAAGTTGGCCATGATGCAGTACTGAAAGAAAACCATGACGGCCTTGCAGCCAACCTTGAAGAGAAGACAATAACATGGGTGAACTGCGGAGGCATTTTGTAGCGGAAGAGATTCAGAGGAAACAAACAGATTTGCTGTTAAGGCTGGTTTTCTACCTAACCCAAAATGCAGAATCTGTATTCATTGTGTCAAGATTGTCCCTGGAACCGCACAGCCTGGGAGACTAAGATAGCTGTGTGGTTTATGCGCATTTGGCCGGTCCAGTGGATTTGGTCATGTAGGGGTAAACGGGCACTTCTACCCACTGTTCCCTACCATGGCGCAAATGGGGGACACTTTTGCCTTCTCCCAACATGCAATCCTGAGCCAGCATGGGGAGGGTAGCAATTTTCTATTGAGATAGACCAGAAACAAATTACTAGTCCCCGGAATAAGAGAGGGACAGAGACCCTAAGACTACATAAGCTACCATAAGCTACATAAGCGAGCCCAGTCTAAATCAGCCTTCAACGCTCTGCCTTTTGCTGGTCCTCCAGTACCTGAGAGATGTAGCAGAAAGGGGGAGGGGGATGTTCAGAGACGAGTGACAAAAAAGGCTGTGGGAATGGAAAGTCTTCCAAATCTGAGATCTTAGAAGGATCACAATTGTTCAGAAAGGAGATGAATAAGAGGGGTTGTGATCATAGAATCATAGAATACTAGGACTGGAAGGGACCTCGAGAGGTCATCGAGTCCAGTCTGGCAGGAACAAATACTGTCTAGACCATCCCTGATAGACATTTATCTAACCTACTCTTAAATATCTCCACAGATGGAGATTCCAAAACCTCCCTGGGCAATATATATATACAGGTTGAACCTCCCTGGTCCAGCACCCTGATTGGTCCTGAACCAGAGAATTTGCTGGACCAAGGGAGATCAATGCACCAGGGGGCTCCATCTTTCCTCCTGGATGCCCCACTGCTGCCCGGAGGTCTGCTCTCCCCACAGCGTAAATCAGGGTAACAAGCTGAATGGGAACACTTGCTGTCATAATGCCAGATGAAGGGAACAGCCAATGAAACTGAAAGACAGCAGATTTCAAACTGAAAGGACTTCCTCCCCTCAAATACACTTCAAAATTAGCCTGTGGAACTCACTGCCACAAGATGTCATTGAAGCAAAGAAATCGACCATTTATGTGGACAATGAGAACAGTCACAGAAGATAAAAACTGTAAGTGATATCAACACTTGTGCTTGGAGTATATGTTAACTGCTAACTGCCCAGGGGTAAGCAAAACTGCCCAAAAAGGGTATTACAAACCTCTTGTCCTCAAACATCTGGTAATGACCATTACTGGAAAAAGTATATCAGACTTCACTGATCACTGGGCTGCACTGGTAGGCAATTCCTGGCTTCCTGTAGCAAAGAACTTGTATCCCTCCAGCCTGCATTTTGCTGTAATGCACCATTTATTGGAAGATTTACCCAGTATTGCTCACGTCCTTTAACTCAAATATAATCACTGCTCTGAGGTAAGACTAGCTATCAGGGGTTCAGGAGGCAGGCTGCCCCGGGGAGAGAGGAGAACTCCAGTCCTCTCTCAACGCAGCAGCTTGGGGCCAGGTGAGAAGCACCTCTCCATGGCTACTGCGGCTCCAGCAGGCACAGCTGGGGGAGGAGTGCATGTCCCCTGGCTGAGGGACGGACAGACAGACGGACACACAAACAGACAAACTGTCAAATATACAGTAGATAGCTGTCCCTTTCTCTAACCTTGTTCCCTGCTTCCCCAATGGGGTTATAGCTCTCCCAGAACCCATCTCTTGCCCCTTGCTGCCCCTCTGTGGTCATTCTACAGTATAACTATCCCTGCTAACAGAACCCTCCCTTTATGTTTTATGAGAAACAGTCCCATTCTGGGCACATCCCATTTTCCTGGCACAACCAAACCCTGACGAAGCTGTGTATCAAATGTGGTGGTCCTAGCTCTTACTGTTTAGGAGTTCTTCAACAAACAGACAGACGGACAGACACACTCACCTGCTTACAGACAGACAAACTCTCTCAGATATATAGTAAATTAGATTTATGGCAATGCTGAAAAGGACATCTATCAATATGCTGTAGGTTCTCTTGACATACTTTGGAAATACATCCATGCCTGCATATGGTGTATATATAAATTGTACCTAGAAGAATAAAACTAAATTAAAATCTATAAAAAAATGGATATGAGTCCAACATTTCTACTTCAAACCTGTTATGCTAGTTAACTGAAATTTTGTTGTTAGTATTTGGATTATTAATAAGTCTCTCAGTTCAAGATGAAAAACAATTGAAAATATAGTTTTAAAACCAAATATTTTTAACATAATTTTATATAGAGAAGTTGAAGCTATCCAAATTTTGTTTAATGTTAATATCCATTGTAAAATAAATAAAAAACAGCCTCATAAAAATTAGATGTATCTGAAGTCTTAAATGTCCACTAGAAATATTTAATATCACAGGTTGACTCAAAGGCCCTGAATGTTGGGAGGTGGAATTTTCAAAAGCACCTTAATAACTTAGGGTATGTCTACACTACCCCGCTAGTTCGAACTAGCGGGGTAGTGTAGACATACCCAGAGAGACCCCCTCACCACATACAGTGCCACTCATCATAAGTCAGAGGAGTTGACACCCTCCAGATCGTTGTAGACAATTGTCCCATAGTCACTACATTGTCAAGCTGTACATAGGGCCTGACTCTCGGCTGGTGTAAATCTCCATTTCCCTGACCTCAGCAGAGTGTTACACCAGCTGAGGTGATCTGGCCCTTTGTTTCTGTCTTTAAACGTCATACTAATGATGACAGATCAGTGCTTCAACACCCTCCTGAGATCCAGAAGGTGCCAGGAACACGGGGCAGGCGGAGGGGAAGCAGGCAGCTAACTTTCAGGGAAAGGAAGGTGATGAAGAGCGGATGTGACAAGGCACCATCTGCGGCAGCCAAAGCACCACGCATCTGTTCGCTTCTCTGCAATCTCGCAGCACACCTGGTGGGTTGGCAGCCAGATGGCTTGCTTGATTCACACCCTGGGCCGCGGAAGGGAAGGGCCAAGCCCTGTTCGCTAGACTCAGTTGCATGGCCGGTGGGGATTACAGGAGTGAGCCAAGTGAGCAAGATTTGGCCCTAATGCGGCAGCTGGCACATAGCCGGTATCCTCGGGGCCCCAGGAAGTGTGGGGGAGTTAGTTTGATGCTGTCAGGCTTTCTCGCATGGCCGCAAAGCCCAGTCTGCTCTGTGCGCTTTCACGTTGGTGCATCCACTCAGGGGAGACTGTTTTCAAGCCCTGCCATCTTCCTGAGCTTTCTGTTTGAGTAGCTCAACAAGCACACACCAGGGGCTGCATATAAGTGGGAACTGGAATGCTTTCAAGGGGCCCCGCAGGGATACATAATGGACACACTCCTGGGTTTGCTGCTCTGAGGAAGTATGTTAGCCCTGCAATAAACAGCCTGCCTGGTGGGGGAATCTCTGTGCTTACAGGTTAGCTCTGTCCCAGGGATGCTTCCCCTCCATGTGTCTGGGGTAGCAGGGACAGCCTGGAGCCTGTTGGGGATGGGTGGTGGGGTCTGCCTGTCTAGTCTGGGTGTGAGGAGGGAGCAGGGACAGGCCCTGGCTAGTTACTTCTACCTCGTTGGTGCTTAGCTACTCCAGGTCCTGCTGGGCTGGACTCCCCAGGGACCTGGCCCAGCCTTGAGACGTCCTGCTCTTTCAGGAGCCTTTCAGTATTTCCTTCTGACTCCAGGCTCTGCCGCACTGAGGCCGCGTCCCGGCCTGTGCGGCGCTGCTCAGACCCTGTGGGGGGCTGCTCAGACAGCAGGAAGAAGCAGACCTGCCATTTTTAGAGCCTCTTTGACATGTTTACAGAATGTGGGTGCGTGATAGATCACAGAGCTGCCTGACGGGAATACACAGCGCCCGATGACTCATGCTCCCCTCACAGGGAAAACGAGTCTTCCTCCCAGGATGCACAATTAGAACTTATTCTCGATGTCCTAGGTGATTTCCCCCCATCTGGCTGTACGACTGGAAAAGGAGAAAAATCAACAATTGCAGGAAAGGGAAACACGTTCTATTTACCTACCACTGGCATCCAGGGGCGCTGCTTTGAATCATAGAATCATAGGGTATGTCTACACTACAGTGCTAATTGGAACTAACTTATTTCGAATTAGTTAATTCGAAATAAGCTAATTCGAAATAACGCATCTAGACCCAAAACCAAATTCGAATTAGCGTTTTGCTAATTCGAACTAGCGCGTCCACACTGATTGGACGCAGGGGGGCATTTAAGGGCAGCTGAAACCGGTTCTGGCAGGGCATCAGGTCAGTAGTTGCTTTGTGTGGCTGCTGTCTGAGGCTATCTGAGGCTCGAGCTTAAAGGGACCCCCCTGGAAAGCCGGTTCTCAGCTTTTCCGCTTGCTTGCCTACCTCGCCGAGGGACAGCAAAGCGTTGTCCTCTCTGCCTGCCTGTGTCAGTGGTTCCCATTGGGGACACCGCCGCAGTAGGCACCATTGAGCCAGAGCTCGCCCTAGGCATTCTGCTCCAGTTTTTGGACTTGAAGGGCTGGAGGCTGCCTGACACCATCTGGTGCACGTCAGCTCCCTGCCTCTCCCCCTGGCCTCCTTGGGGGTTGTGGAGGAGCTGCAGCAGTGCCCAGATGCCAGTGTGCCCCACTGCATCTGGCGTCTGGACACCAGCAGTGACTGTTGGGACCGCATCATCCTGGAGCGCAGGGGAGACCACCAGTGGACTCAGAACTTCAGGATGAAGAAGGACACCTTCCTGGAGCTCTGTGAGTGGCTTACCCCTGGTCTGCGGTGATGGGACACACACATGAGGCCCGCCATTCCCCTCCACAAGCGGGTGGCCATCACCCTCTGGAAGCTCTCCACGCCGGATAGCTACCGATCCAGCCAGTGGGCTGGGAGGACGAGGGGGGCTTCAAGGAGGGGATGGGCCGCCCCAGAGAAAACGGGGGAGAGGGAGGAGGTGAAAGTGCCCTGCACGGGAGGGTTC